ATGTCTTGTACCATGAGCACAATCTTTGCTGTTATCTGAGTAATTATTTCTGATTTCATTTTTCCCAGATCCTCTTTTGTTGCCAGTTTAGAGTCCAGGTGGTTGAGTATCAGATTGTTCCATCTCGTTTCCCTTTGGGGTTGCTGTAGGTGATCCAGAAGTCTGTTTCTGAGTCTTGTTTACGTGTCTTCTCATTTCCACGGGAGGGGGGGGTGCTTCTGGCGCCCACATGGCTCACCTTCTCTGCCCTAGGAGCTTGGGATGGCGGCAGGGGAGCTTCCTTCCGGGTTCCGGGATCGGCTCAGCTTCTCTGCCCTAGGAGCTTGGGATTCCGGTGGGGGAGCTTCCTTTTTCTGATGTTTTCAATTTCCTTTTTCAGATGGATGTAATTTTCATTGTAGAGGTCCTTCACTTCCTCAGTTAGGTTAATACCTAAGTAACATTTTTTCCACAAAGTATAATCCTTTTATTCTTTTCCAAATTTTTAAAATATTATAATTTCTTTACATTTCCATCTAAATTTTGATGTCAGATTCCCTGTGCCCATAAAATACACTGTTAGAGTTTTTATTGGAACTGTATTAAATCTATAAATCAAATTGGGAAGGACTGACGGTTTTTATATGAACATAGTATACTTCTACATTTAGGTCTGTTTTGATTTCCCTCAGTACTATTTAATTTCAGCATACAGATCAAGTGTACATGTATATTTATTTATTATTATTTTTTGGTACCAGAGATCGAACTCAGGTCCTTGCGCTTGTGAGGCAGGCGATGGAACCACTGAGCTAAATCCCCGGCCCTGTATGTTATATTTATACCTAAGCATCTGTTCCTTTGGAACTACTGTAAATAGTACTTATTATTCCATGCTCCTATTATACATTGCTAGATAGTGTTTTTTCAGTATCCACAAGAGATTCGTTCCAGGAAATTCCACAAATAACAAAATCCACAGATACTCAAGTTCCTTTAAAAATGGCATAGTATTTGTATACAACCTATACACATCCTCTTGTATATTTTAAATCATCTCCGTATTAGTTATAATACATAAGACAATGTAAAGGCTATATAAATGTTATATTATATTCCCTAGGGAATATGACAACAAAGGGCTTAGTTCAGCCACAATTTTTTTCACATACTTTTAATCCATGGTCGGTTGAATCTGCAGACAATGAATCTGAAGAAATGGAGGGCCAAATGTATACAGAATAAGACTGGGATGGGGATGGGGGTGTATCTTATATCCTGTGACCTTGCTAAACTTTGCTAGGTTTTTGAAGATTCTTTGGGACAATCATGTTGTCAATGGAAAGTTTTATTTCTTCTTTCCCAATCTCCTCTTTTCCTTTTGTTCCCATATTAATGCTGACCAGGATTTTCTAGTAAAATACTGTACTAGAGAGAGGTTAAGAGTAGACATTCTTGCTCTGTTCTTGTTCATGGAAGAAAACTTTCATTCCTTCACCATTAAGTATGATGTTAGCTGTATGTTTATGATTTTCCTCTTATGAACAGTGGAATTTAATTTGCTTTTTATTTTGAGGATTTCTGCAATATGTTCATGAGGTAAATTGGTCCATAGTTTTCTTTTCCTTTGTCCTTCCTTTATGGTTTACTGTTTGTCTGGTTTACATAATCAGGTTAATTCTGGCTTCATAAAGAAAGGTGGAAAGTGTTTCATCACCTTCTAAGTTCTGATCCACTGAACTGACTGCTTCCCAGTGTCGTTGGTCTGGCTTTCCCACTATTAACAGGTGGAGAAAACATCGCACTGAAGTCTAGCAGGTCGCTCAGCTCCTTGTTGGTCCCTATCACAGCCATGCGCTGTTGGGGGTTCATCTTCGGCCATTTCTCACAGGTCAATTTGTAGAAGTTTCAATCTATAGTTGGCTGGCTCCAAGGCAGAAAGACACGGCCGCAGGGCCTGGGTGGAGGAGTGATGCTCACCTCATGGCATCCAGGAAGCAGAGCCCTCACTAATTTTTTTGATGCTGAGTCCTTTACACGTTCTTGATGTTATTAGTCTTCTGCCCATGGAATAGCTGGCAAAATTTTTTTCCTAAGGGTATTGTTTTCCTAATTGTCTTTTCAGTGAGTTCATTGCAGTGTATGTATCCCCTTTATTTTTCTTGCCTGACTGCTCTGGATAATGTTTCAAAGATTGTGTTGAATAGGAGTGGTGATAATGGACATCTTTGTCTTCTTCCTAATTAGAGGGATGGCTTTTAGCTTTTCGCCATTGAATATGATGTTGGCAGTAGGTTGATCGTTAAGTGGCTTTTATCATGTTGAGATTTATCATGTCAAGATAGGTACTTTAATACTTATTTTCTCCAGGTTTTTTTTTTATCCTGAATAGATGTTGGATTTTGTCCAAAGGCTTTCTATATATCTATTCAGATGATCATGTGATTTTTTTTTCCCCTTGCTTGTATTTATGGGGTCAATTACATTTACTGGTTTGCATATGTTGAACCATCCTTGCATCTGTAAAATGAAGCCAAGTTGGTTAGAGGGTATGATCTTTTTGATGATTTGGTGCACTGTTCGCCAGTATCTTGTTAAGGATTTTTACATCTATGTTCATTAGCCTACAGTTCTCTTTTTTGGTTGGATTATCTGGTTTTGGGATCAAGATAGTTAGCTGGGCTCGGTATTTAGCTCAGTGGTTCTGCCACCTGCCTCCCAAGCACAAGATCCAGAGTTCGATACCCAGTACCAAAAAAAGAATAAAATTAGCTCCTGAGAATGATTTTTAAGTACTCCTTCCCTTTCAATTTCATTAAAAAGTCCAAGAGTATTGGTTAGATCTTCCCTGAAGTTCTTATATATGGGAGTTTAAAAAAAAAAAAGTCTACAAAGCTGTAGAGACAGAAGACAGGTTATATGCTAACATAGGAGAGAAGGTAGCAAGGAGATAAATTATAATTTTTAGGCGGTGAAGGTTTCTAAGACTAGATATTTGAAGGCCAAAAGAAAAGTGAGATGTAGAGAAAATTATCTTATGAGAATGAGATAACAGAAAGGGAGCTTTTGTGGGGAATTCACCAAAATCTAGTAATGAATAAAAGGAAGTGACAAGGGACAGTTGCAAAAAGGCTGTGAACAGAAGGGCTGTACAGATCTAGTTTTTCCCAATACTGTTCTAGGGGAGAAGCTGAAAAATAGTGTGTGTGGGGGCTGTTCTGTCTTAGAAATTGATGAGTGCACTTCCCTGCTCCTCTTGTTTATTTTACAGGCTAAGAGTTATTTCATGCAATACCAGGGGGAAAAGCGTCACTCAAATCTCAATAGCTCTTTCCATCTTTGCGTCTCACTACATCAGACAGATACAAAGTCCTTTCCCTACCTTCTCCTCACAAGAAATAAATTACTGTCCTTTAAGACTCCATTTCTATTAACTCAAAGCACTACGGTTAAAATTGTGCTGAATCCCCTCCTCTTCCAGTAAGGTGAGTATAGTCAATAAATGTTTGAAAAAGAAATAAATGTTTGGTTCTTCTCTTTCTTACTCCTTTAATAAGAAGCTCTAATAAATGACTTTTTAAAACTTTAAGAAAATTCAATGTGATTGTCTTCTCAGAAAATGGAAATAAGAGGTAGAAACTAAACACTCTCTAGAGAAATAGCTTCCTATTCATCTTTAAACATTATAGCAGACCTTATCTGAATACACTCAGAACAAACTTCAGTCCCAGAATGGCATCACATATTGCTTTATCAAGTTTGTTGAATGACTTCAAGTAGAAAAGTGCCGAAGGAGAAATTAAGACATTAGAAGTCCACGGTTTCCAAGCAAATCTTTAAATCCTTATTAATTGTTCACAGTAGTCCAAAATCCTTGTCACAAATGACTAAAGTTTATTGAAGTGTCATTTTAGAAGCTTTTTTTTTGGTATGGGGGATCGAACTCGGCAAGGCAGGCGGCAGAACCACTGAGCTAAATAAATCCCCAGCCCTTGAAGTGTCATTTTAAAAAAAGACTAACTCCAAGTTGATGTCTGGTTAAGTTTCCGACTTAGGAACATTCGAGTTGCAAACTTTCACAGATACAAGCAGACCTAGCATTATGAACATTCACAGATGTGAACATTCATAGATGGGAACAAATTGTGAAAGTAGCTCAAGTGTTTTCTAGACACTGTCACAGTTGTGCTGCTGTGTACAGTGTGGTAGTGTACAGTAAGTAGTACAGTGCTCAATCAGAGCCCAGGATGTCTGGAAGCAAGAGGAAAAGCAGTAGCGATGAGGACGGGACTGCTAGGAAATGCAAAGCAATAAACATGGAAACAAATTGCAAGTATAGTAGTATAAGACTCACTTTGTCAGACTTGAAAACAAATCCAACTTATGAATGTTTTCCTGAAGTGGAACTCATTCATAAGTCAGGGACTTACTATATCCTGAAAGGACTCTCTTTAAAGGGACACTTAAATCACATGCTTAATTTTTTTATAGTGGTATAAAAACATCATATAATCTTGATGAAGTTTAAAGAGCTACTGATTAGAAATTTTAATATTGCCTGTATCTGTAAAACATGAAATTCTTTCTTAGTGGTGCCAAGTGAGCTACTTTACTCCCTCTTATTTGGTGGTAGACTGGTACTAAGGCCTTTGCCCTGAAATACATCCCCCAGCCTTTGATTTTTTAAAGACAGGGTATTGCTAAGTTGCCCAGGATACGCTTGAACTCATGATCCTCCTGCCTTGGACTCCCAAGGTGCTGTACTCCCAGGTGTGCACTACCATCCCCAGTTTCTCTTCTCTTTACTGTAAAAATATATTAGAACAAAAATTACCCCAAAATTGCAGATGCTATGTGAATTACAAAGCTACTGGCAGCAGTATGATATACATACCTATTCTAACAAAAAGTACCCAATGGGCAATGAAGGTTATAACTATTGTGGTACAGGGAACTGAACTCAGGGCCTCTGGACTGAGCTACATCTCCAGCTTTTGAGACAGGGTCTCACTATGTTGCCCTGGCTGGGTTAATCCTGTAATCCCCCTGCCTCAGCCTCCTAAGCCATTGGGATTTCAGGCATGTGCCACTGGGCCTGACTATACATTTCTTATACATAGAAGTATTTTATGATTTGCTCATAATTAAAATGGTGAAAAGTTTATGCCTATTTAAAAAATAACATAATATCTGATTATATAGAATGCATTTTTCTATTAAGTCTTCCTAATTTAATACCAAAGTAATGAAGCATCAATCATCACTGACAGGGCAGATTTACTTGCCATGACACAAATGCTAAAGTACAGCCAATGATTATTTCTTAGATATGTGACAAGCCCATACCTTTCCACTTTCTGTGGTATTCAAAGAAGCAATTTATCATCATCTGACAATTATAAGATCTGAGGCTCAAACCGTATCTGCTACAGTCAAGTTTTGGAAAATGGTGGGCCTCACTTTACCAAGACCTAAAAAAGGGTTAAAGAGGATCATACCTAAAAGGCTCATCTAGTGTAATAATCTCTATTGTTAAGTAATTTTATTCTCTTCTTTAATTCTTCCTCTCTACCTCCAGTTGAAGATACTATGAATGAAATGGCCAGAAGGCAGTTAAGAAGGATGGTGAGATGCTGCACCTGCCTCGCAAGAACAAGCTCCTGAGTTTGATCCCCAGTACCAAAGATGTTGAGAAAAGAGTCTAGGTTGTTTTACTAATTCAACTGGCAGGAAACTTCAAATTCTAAAAATTATGAATAATCACTACAAAGTTCTTTGTAACACAGAACAATCTAAAAACAACAAGTCCAATCTTTACAGCTAAGAATAAATCATGTGAAACCTGTTACATTTTATTTGTTAAAAATGAACAGCTTCAGAATAGAGCTAAATGTAACTTTTCCAAAAAACACCAAATAGTGTGAAGCACCTCCTCATTAAATACAAACTTTCACTTTGTGATGCACTGCATCAATGTTTTGCATACACCTTGATGCAAAGAAAATTTTAAGTTGCATCCTGTTTAAGAAAAAATATTTTAAGAACTGAACAAGGATGACTACAACCACATTCCAAGAAAGGAAGTATCCCAACAAAGCATATTGTTTTGTTTATATACAACATGCTAGCACTCAAGAGTTTTAATTTAGTTGTACCAAAGGCAAAACTTACTTTAAAAGAAAATTACAGATGCATGAATTGCAAAAGTTTAATATAGCAAAGACACTTTGTTATTTGATGCACTTAATGCCAACATTTGGGGCAGTTTTTAAGGTCTTCTAAAAAAATGACATAACAATATCTCTTTATAGTAATATTTAAAATAAGAGGAAAATGAGAACCCTTTTATACTATATTTTCAAAAACTGTTCTAAAGACTGCAAACTCATGTTCAGTTGTTTTTCCTTTCCTTTAAAATAAGCTACCAGTAATTCCAGGCAGTCTAAAATATATTGTTCTTGGATCAAATATTAAATATTCATATTTGCAAAAATGTTTTGCAGTGAGTCTTTGGCCTCTATGAAAAGATTCAAATTGCTAAGAAGAGCTAGAGTTTATTTTCAAATTCTGTGACTGGGTTCCAATAATCCCTTATCAAGTGAAGTACTGGCAAAATATCGGATATTAAGGATCAGATTTCTTTGGTATAAACATGAAACTGTTACTGATAGCTTCCCATGGCTAGCATAGACCAGTAAGTAACCCAAGGAACATAGGAGACAATAAAATCTAGTATACAATGCAAGGTAGGCAGGGGTGATAATGTTTTGTTTTGTTTTATAGGAAAAGTCAACACTAATAAAATAAGCCAGAGAAAAACACCTACTTAGAAATGTGAACATTATGATAAACCAAAAAGTCAAGCTTCAAAATGACCAAACTTGCTAATTTTCAGCTGGAATATTTTTCTATATTTTGGCATTTTACTGTAATTTGTAGTACACAATTTCTGAAGACTCTCAGCACTATCTTGGCACAACAGACTTAACACCTCCCACCTCTCCAGAGTACAGGAAGAAAAGTTCTTTCTCGCCTAAATGCCTGAATTTTATATCATACAAAAAATCTGAGTGGAAGGTATACAACAAAGGTTACAATGTAACTCTATTGTAATTTTACACATTTTTTTCTTTCTGACATATTTTTCTTTCTGGAGCTATAAATTATTCAATTTAGTAAGCTTATAAATTTTAACTTTTTGAATAAGAAAGTGTAGGACTGTAAGGCTATTAATTTTACTATCAAAATATCTAAGGGATTCAATGCATTTTTAAAACTAAAATTCTAAATATCACTTGAAGAAGAATCTGAAGACACTAGACTCAAGACTATACTAAATCCAGAGTTTATCTATGACCTGGGTTTTGAAGCTTTTCACCTAAGTTTCTGGTCCTTCAACCTGCTCCTTCCTCACATGCTTTCTTCATTATTAAACACAAACTCAGCTTTTCACACTGGACCTTTTCCAGTGTCCTATCGGATAACTCTGTAAGCGTGCATTTACAGCCTTCATACACCAACATTTTAAACTGAGACTAATGCCAAGAACCACATTTTTTTGTTAAAAGTTCAGCACTAAAGATTTACAACTCCAGGAGTCTAACTTAACACCACCTGAAAAATGAACCCTGTTCCAGATAGTTCTATAAATCTTAAAAGCCAAAACTGGAATTCTCATAAGGTTTTAAAAAATGTGTCTAATGAAGAAAAGGCAACTGTACTTAGTATATCAACACTCTTTAAAGGATAAGTGACAGCAACAAAGGGACCTACTCGTATTACAGAAGACAAAGTTTTACCATGGCAAAGTCTAAAAAGTGAGCAAACACGTAAGATCCTAAATATCACTATCATAAAAATAATCTCTTTCTGTTTCTTTCTTTTCTTCTTTCTTTCATTCATCTTCTGCATGAGGAACCAAGGAAGTCAACAGAAAATTATTCTGCCTGGGCCAACCATGAAATCTTTAAGAACAGATAGGTATACTCCCTGTTACCTTTCAGGGCATTATTTTATACATGTTTAAAAAAAAAAAAACTTCAAAAATAAGAGTTATTTAGCCTTGTGAATATTTTGAAGTAAAGATTCTTGAATTTCTGTGATGAACTCTTCAAGCAATTCAACTTCTCAGAGTCATCACTCAAAAGGTCCTTTGACGTGGGATCTATCCCACAGTGACAAAGCGGCTTCCTCCTTTGTTGTATGTGAGAGTGGCTCTTTGTTCCTTCAGGATTCCAAATCTTTCATTCAAAGTCATCCCTGTCTACAGAAAAGGGAAAAAAAAAATCAACAACTTGACTGAAAGGCGTATTTGCTTTGGAACAATGTTATGATTTACAGTAATTAATAATGACAATAGTGGGCCAAGGATTTAGCTCAGTGGTTCCAGTGCCTGCGCCTTGCAAGTGCAAGGTCTTGAGTTCGATCCCCGGTACCAAAAAAAGAAATAATGACAATAGCTAGTATGTCCTGAATACTATGTGAATCTCATTAGATCCTAACAAAAAAACATAAAATAGATGAAATTAAAGAGGTTCAGAGAAGTTAATTAAGTTGCCTACTAGCAGCTCCTGACTCATAATCCCTACCTCCTGATGAGAATGTAGCCCAGTGGTAGAGAGCTTGTCTCACATGCATGAGATTCTGGGTTCACCTCCCAGTACCACCAGGAAACAAGAAAATTATTTTAACTTGGAAGTATTTTTAAACAAATTTCTGAGTTTACTACAGAAATATGAAAATCTGGTTTTTGATTAACAACTAACAAAGTACTCTGAAAATGACAAAGTAACTATATTGACAAAATAAAATTTGTCTACTTTCTGTGTGTGTGGGTGTGCATGTGCATGCCCACGTAGTGACTGTACCCAGGGCTTTCCACAGAGCTATATCCTCAGACCAAAAATGCCCAAATTTGTGGCTATACGTCCCATCTTCAATTCCAGATTATTTCAACTAGTAACTTTGTTTTTTTGTATTGGGGTTTGAACTCAGGACCTTGTGCCTGTGAGGCAGGTGCAGTGCCACTGAGCTAAATCCCTGGCCTAATTCCAGATTATTTCAATGGATACCAAAAGAGAATATGAAGTCCAAAACTCTCTCATGATATAGATTCTCAGTAAATTAGGAATAGATGGGGGCACCCTCAATCTGATAAAGGGTATCTCTGAAAAACTTATAGCTGACATTATACTTAATGATGAAACATTTAATGTTTTTCTCCTTAGGCTCTGGAACAAGGCAAGCACACAATAGTATACTGCCACTTCTATTCAATATTGTCTTAACTATTATAATAAAGCAAGAAAAATAAAAGGATTTAAAAATTGCAAGGCATTTGGAGAATGATATGACTGTATACCCAGAAAATCCAAAGTAATTTGCAAATTTACTACAAAAATGAATTTAGCAGCTTTGCGCAGTGGCAGTATCGTAACCAATGAGGTTAATCCAAGGTGCGATTTTTGCTAACTGAAAAATGAATTTAGCAAGATAACATGAGTTTAATACAAAAACTTAAAATCCTGGTGAGATACCACTTCACACTCAGTTGTATGGCCATAGTCAAACAACAGGTAATAACAAGTGTTGGTGAGAAATTTAGAAACCTCATATATGCTGCTGGAGGGAATGTAAAACAGCATTGTTAGGGTCTGTATCTAGATGTCCTCCCAAAGCTTCATGCGGTCATAGGTGGGGGTTTTTCAGAAGTGGCTGGATCTAGAATGTGTGATGCTGGGATAGATTCATGGTTCAACGCCAGGATTAAAGGTGCTAAGATTAAGGTTGTGAGTGCTATCTGTCCTAAGGGTGGGTAGCCTGGACAGAGAGTCTTGCCTCTCATTGCTTGCTGCCTTCTCCCTGCCATGAACTGTTTTTCCTGTGATGCTCCTCTGCCTTGGAGCTGGCCAACTATGAACTGAAACCTCTAAAAACTGTAAGCTAAATAAACCTTTCCTCCCTTAACTTGTGAGTGTTGGATATTTTGTCTCAGCAATGAGAAAAAACTAAGACAACCACAGCTATTTCTTTGGAAAGCAGTCTGGCTGTTTCTAAAAAAGTTAAGGATGGAGTTACCATAAAATTCTCATCTACTTCTGGGTAGTTAACAAGAAGAAATGAAAACATGCTCACATAAAAGCTTGTCCACAAATGTTCAAAGAATCGGTATTCATAGGCTAGAGATAGAAACAAACCAAATGTATACCAGCTAATGAATGAGTAATAAGATGCTGTATTTAAGTTGGGTGTGGTGGCATTCAACTAATCCCAGCTCCTTGGGAGGCCAAGGAAAGAGGATAACATTTTTTTTGGTACAGGAGATCGAACTAGGGACCTTGCGCTTGTGAGGTAGGTGGCAGAACCCCTAAGCTAAATCCCCAGCCCAAGAGGATAACATTTTTGAGGCCAGCCTGGCCACCATAGTGAGACGGTCTCAAAAAAAATTAAAAAGGGCCAAGGCTCTAGCAGAGTGATAGATCACTTACCTAGTAAGCACATGGCCCTGGATTCAATCCCCAATACCATGCACACACACAAAATGCTGTGTGAATATGCTGAATATTGTCAAAAAATGAAATACTACATAATATGGATGAACCTTGAAAACATGGTGAGTGAAAGATGTTAGTCACTAAGATGACACATTTTATAATCCAATTTACATGAAATGTCAAAATAGGCAGTCTATAGTACAGAAACAGATTTAGGGTACCTAGACTTGAGGGGGTAGTTAGAACACTAATTTGTTGTACAACAATATTAAATTAATATTTAAGATTGTCAGTGAACGGTCCAAAGAAATACAGAAAACTTTTTTTTTTACCTGTTTCCCAACACTATTTATGTCAAATTGTAGAGGGACACCTTTAGGAACTTTCTTTACATCGGATTGTTCCCGTTTTGTCAAGAATGAGGGTATAGCAGTACGAGTTAATCGTGGTTTCTGATTTCTATTAGGAAAAAAAAAAATTAGCTTAACAACCAGGAAAAAATGAAATCATCTGGTGCTTAAAATGTCTTGACTTGTACACATGCTCAAATGTGTTAGGCCTATTTTATTGTGTTCTTTAAAAAAAGGACCTCTTTACTACTCTGGAGACTAAAATTTGTAATTGTTCACAGAAAACCTCTAATTATAACTAAAAACTTCTAACAATTTTGGTGATTTCGAAGACTTGGTTTTCTAAAATAAGGTAACCTATAAAGTCTTGGAGACCTATGTTACACTATTTTAATTTCAATCATTAAAATGGCTGGATAGATCAGAAACTCCATAAATTTAGAATGTTCACAGTGCAAGAAATATACTGAAACAGTAAAGCTAGTGATTAGCTCTTCCAGTTAAGAGAATAGACAGAGGCCTTTAAAGAGAAGACAGATCTGTATGATCTGACAAGTAAAGATATCCAAAATATACCAGGGTGAGGGGAAGAAAAGAATTTTAAGTATGTATAGTATCACCTCATTTATTATCATACATATATAAAATGTACAATCATTTGTTACATATGCATAATATTTTCTTAAATATATAAAAAATTTGTTAAAAAGGAGTTACATGAATCAGGAATCAAGGAAGTCTTACTTTAAACTTTATCTTATTTCCAGTTTGTATCACAAATATTACTTTTAACCTTGTATCTCGCTGTATACTTTTCCTTAATTAAAATTATAGTAAAAGGGGACAGGGATTTAGCTTAGTGGTTTCACTGCCTGCTACGCAAGCACAAGGACCCGAGTTCAATCCCTGGTACCAAAGATAAATAAATAAATAAAATAAAATAAAATAAAATTATAGTAAAAGATGCACTGCCATTAATCCTCCTAAAAATAGCTCCCCTTACTTCAAACACACTTAACTCTATCCAACTTAGACGTCAAACTCTGAGCACAAGTCCAATTATTTCATATATGAAGAGGTTATGAGTTTTTACAAAAGAAAAAAAAAACTTACACTGGGCACTGTACTGCTCCAGGATTGTCAATGGACACAGTCAAAATTCCTCCATTTGTGGTGGAAGTACGCCACCTAGTTTCAAAAAAACACAAATCTCCTTAAAATGGGAGTTTATAAATCCTACATTGTAACCACACAAAAATATACTGATTATCTGTCTATATTTATTTTGGTGCTGGGAGATGAACCCAAGCAGGGCCTCATACATGGTAATCAAGTATTTTTTCCACTGAGCTACAATCTGAGCCCCAAAATACACATTTAAGAAACAACCATTACATTTTCTTAGCTTTTATGAAATAGTGATACCTGGGCCCCACCACCATGATGTAATGAATCAGCATACTGCATGTAGGAACTGAGCATTTGAATTTCTTAAATCTTTTTCAGTATAATAAAAATCAAATACAGAAGGGATTCTAATAAAACCTAACAGTCTTTCACCCCACTAGCCTCCTTCCCATTCCCACTTCCCCAGAAGCAGTACTTCTTAACCTTTTGTTTTTACTACTAGCTCGTGACTTCTCACTCACTAAACAGATACTTACCAGAAAAATCTAGCTATAATCTTGCTGAATAAGATCATTATACCATCATCCAGTTTCCCTACTGACCTCTAAACAATTCGATGGCTTTATCAATATTTTACTTCTATTGTATATTTAAATCTTTATTTCTTTCAGTACTCTCTTGACCCCCTTCCACTTAGTATGAGAATAACAGTCCCTCTAAACCTTTTTTCCACCTTTTCTACCACTTTTTATGTTCCACTGTCAGCTTTACCTTCATATTTATAGTAACTTGACATTCACATTATACTCTATCTACAAATAACTACTTTATGCTAATCTACAGGTTAATTCTCAAAGCTTAGAACAAATTAACATTTATAGGGCCAGGGATTTAGCTCAGTGGTGCCGCCGCCTGCCTCCCAAGTGGAAGGTCCTGAGTTCGATCCCTGGTACCAAAAAAAAAATTGTAATACTGTTATCATATAAATACTGTTCACTGAAGAAGCTAATAGGCTATAGTTACTCTCCTCCTATAGTGTCCAATGTTCTACCTTCTGTGCTAAACAATACTTCCAGCATCAGGTTCAAATATAGTAGTTTCTTTTCCTTCACTCTCAAAATCATGCCCTACCGAACTTTGATCACATCTGGACCATGACCAAATTTTGTTTTCCAAAAGGTAGCCATAACTTTAGCTTAATCTCAATACCGGATAATACTGATGGAATTAAGAGTATTACAACTCATACTTGTAATGACAAAAATGGATTTTTAAAAAGATAATGCCAAAGGAAAAAATGTTTTAGTTTTACAAATATTCTAAGAGCGATACTGGATTTTCTTCTATTCATCCCCTGGATGGGTTTATTGATATAAAAGCAGATACAAGGGCCAGGTGTGGTGGTGCACACCTATAATCCCAGAACTTGGGAGGCTGAAGAAGGAGGATGGTGTTCGAGGCCAGCCTGGGCTACACAGTGAATTCAGGGCCAGCCTGAACTACAAAGGGAGACCCTGCCTCAAAACAAAAAACGAAAAACAAGCAGATACAGAGAAAAAAAAAAGAAAAAGAAAAATGCTTTTTCATTAAAGTGGAGTAAATAGTTAATAAAAAATACAGTAGTTTAGTTGGTGTTAAAAAAATGTTTTAACGCTGACATGAAAATTCAAAGGTTTTGGGGGTGAAAACAACAAAAGCAAAAAAAAATTTATTTTAGGCTTAATTTCATCTTGGGTCTTTTCGATCTCTTTCAGACTAGAGCACATGGTAATTTGGATGGCTAGTATTCTGAGTTTTAAAATGACATCTTGAAAAACAAATCGACTTACTGACGAGTTCTCTTTGCTGCTACATCGTCTAACAGTTGTTCTGTGTTCAACTGGGCCTGAACCTAAAGGGAAAAAAAAAGTAGTAGATGCCAGAAAAAGCAGAGGACTTGAATCCAAGATATCATGCACGGTAATCTTGTAACCCAGTGTGGTACGTGCATGAATGCAGGAGAGGGGTCTGTGTTATTTTACCAACACCTCTTCTGTTGGAGTTCTAACAAGGAGTATTAGAACAAGTGGCAAATACAAGTTTACTACTATGTAACATTAAAATTCTTATAGGAAGATGCTATTGATGGCAAAGAAGAACAATGAATAGAAAAACTGAGGCAGAGCCAATCCAGTGTCATATTTTCCACATCCCAAATTTAATCCCTACCTCAACCATGGGCCATGCCTGTGATTATTACTTAAAGTGGCTGGCTCAGGATCCTCTTTGGGTTTCAAAGAAAAACAAAAAAATACACCAAGGCTTTTAATACCTTCAGGCCTCTTCGGAAAAGAAAAGTTGCCTGACGAGTGTCTTTCTGATGGCTTAATTTATTTCCACTCCTGGTAAAATTAGCTGGAATGTTATTTCTGCGACAAAAACACATGATAACATGAGTATTCTTGGCCACTTTCCTTTCAAACATCTTGAGAAAAAAATAAGAAAAAATAGTTAAATTTACAGGCTGACAACCTGATAAGAGTGTAACGTAAAGACACCTAATGGTTTCCTTATTTACATGAAGCTACTGCGAGCTGATTTACCATATCTCCCTCTGTAGATGAGCACACAACAACCTGGTTAACTGTGAACTAATTTATATTCCAAATACATTCAATCTAATATGCCACACATATCATGCCTTCTGAAGGCATTTACAAAATCACATTTTTAATGCTATTTCTTATTCCTAAAGAAAACATAAATTTACAGATTTGTTTATAGGATTGGTGCAGAGAAATTCATATATGTGCACATTCATAATCAAAGTGGAAAACAGAAATATAGATTTGAATAACAACCTCTCCTTCAGCTTTCTCTTCCTCCCTCACTTAGAAAACACAAAGAAATATATTCTTCCACTTTTATTCTTTCATGTGCAGAACTATTCACTCTTCATTGTTTGACTTGATTTTCACCACTTCCTTTCAATTTTCTAGAGGAAGTTGGTGAACTATGAGAAAACAAAAATTTGTATTTATCTATTACATAAATAAGTACTTAATAGGTTACTGTTGCCTAATCTTGTTTCCAATCTTACAAAGGTTCAAATGCTAAATTTCCCTACCTACCCAGTTAACATGCAAGTCTCACATAAATGATAGGTTCTTATTTGAGAAGGTCCCTTTCATAAATGGTACTAACATGTTATCCCCAAATACGACAGTTAAGTAAAACTGCAATTCTAGCCATTTCATTTATAAAAGAACTTCATTCCAGGTTTTATTATGGTTTATCTTCAGTAAGAGATAAATAAATGGTACCTGAAAGTGAAATAAAGTAACTTCACACCTTCTCAGCTTTCTGTCTGTATTATCCTTTTTTTTCCCCTTCCAGGGACTGGGAATTGAACTCAGGACCTTGTGCTTGCCAGGCAGGTGCAGCACCACTGAGCTAAATCCCTGGCTATATTATCCTTATAGAGAATGGAATGCACAACAGGTCTTAAGTTTTAGGTTTTCATTATGACTTTCAATTTAGTGTAAAATAATTTCAGCTTAAACATTCCTGCAGAATTCGCTCTAGTTTGCTTTTTCCACAGATAACCTACACTGTGATTCAGTGTTTTAATTAGAGCCACTGAGACTGAATAATTCAGCTTCCAGAATTCCCAATTTTGAATAATCCTGGTTGAGGTATTAGGATTTTGCTATTTTATTCCTTTTTTTTTGGTACTGGGGATTGAACTCAGGATCTCGCGCTTGCCAGGCAGGCAGTGGAACCACTGAACTAAATCCCCAGCACTGCTATTTTATTCTTATGTCAAGGGAGGTAAAGAAGCAGAGTAGTGCCTTTTAAAACATGTTTGTATGAAGCCAGTGGCACATACCTGTAATTCCAGCTACTTGGGAGGCTGAGGAAAGAAGACTGCAAGTTTAGGGCCAGCCTGGCCAACTTAGTTATACCTCACCTCAAAAAATAAAAATTGCCTTATATTTGAGTACTTACTTTCTGTTTAACTGGTTAGGTCTCTTGAGAACTGCAGCTGGTTTCCTTTGCACTTCATTTTGTCTCAGAAGGTTTGCTTTCCTTTTTAATACTGGAAAATATCGTTCTATATTCTTTCAGAAAGCAAGAAAATATGTTAGCCAGCTTGTTTTTGTTATATACCCTACTACAATAAACATTTCTGGTGCAGAATGGACTAATGCTGACAATTACTTGGATGTGTACTAGGGGGAGACTGAGAAATTAAAATGACAATTTCCTTAGTGACTGAAAAGACAACTGCATTATATTTTAAATACCTGGCGTGATCAGGGGGTTCACAGCTAATGTAAAATGTGACTCTGGAACTCAAGGAAAGAATCAGAGAGCCAGAGATGTGAATTATGAAATAATTTACATAAACATGATTATAAGTGCTATGGTTTGGGTAAGGTCTATGTGTTCTCCCCAATGTTCATGTGTTCAAGGCTTGGTCCACAGGGTGGCACTTTTGGGAAGCTCATAAAAGCTTTAGAAGGAAGGGCCTAGTGAGAAGCCTTTAGGTTAACAGAGATGTGCCCCAAAAGGAATTGTGGGAGCCTGGCCCCTTCCTCTTCCATTTTCGGTCATGAAGTAAGCAGCTTGCTACATTCTCTTGCATGACATACTTACCTTACCAGAGGCCCAAAACTATGTGCACCCCTCTAGATTTTGGACTGGTATCTCCAAAATAGTGAGCAAAAATAAATCATTTTCTTCAGAAGTTAATTCTCCCAGGTATTTTGTTACAGTAAAAAAAAGCTGACACACTAAGTGGAGGGACAGAGAGCCAAGTTCCAAAACAAGCAGGAAAAAATACACAAGGAAAGTTATAAGAACAAAAAAGTTGAAGTAGAAAAAGAAAAGAAAAAGAAAAATTCAGTATAATAAAAATCACAATGCTCATAATCTCAGCATTCTGGGAAGTGAGGCAAAACAATATAAAGTTTGTGCCCAGCCTACGCAATTTAACAAGACCCTATCTCCAAAAATAAAAAAGAAAGGGGTTAGGGAGGTAGCTTCCTGGGTTCAATCCCCACTACTGTGCAACAAGCACATGAAATGTGCACTTTTCCTTCCTCCATATATATAAACTGAACCCACCATTAAAGCCTAATTCATGAAGACTTCTTTAAAGTCCTTGACCATATGGACTGTAGCTCGTACTTTATCTAGAGTCTCCTATTATCTTAAGCATATGAGAAGCACTTCATAAATATCCACTGAGAAAATAACTAAAAAATGAAAAAGTTTTCATTTTCATGAGCATTTAGAAAAGAAGTACATATAAATATGAGGACAAAGAATATCAAGAATAAGGTCAGTCTAATGTCCTATTCTAAGCTTTGGTGAAAGCTTCTTCTAGATGCTGTTGTCACATGTAATTTGTTTGGCACATTAAATGTGTGATAGCATACATGTTTTATCTTAAGTTTACTAAACATACACAGACTTTCCTCTTATTCTCTAAACAATATACAGTAGTAAAACAACATGCTATTTACACTGTTTTAGATTATTACAAATAATGTAGATGAGTTATATACAAAACACTCTGCCGTTATATACAGGGGCTTGAGCATCAGCAGATTTTGCTATCTGAGGAATATCCTGGAACCGACTTCCCACAGATATGGACGGATGACTGCATTTGGGAAAGTGGAAATCTGTGTAATCTTCATGAATGGTAATGTTTTTTATAGTTCTTAAATGTTGACATAAGCCTCAAAGTGATACATAACAATACCCCATAATGCTTATTCATAAAAACATTAGTACAAATAAGGAAAAAGGTCTCTACCCAGGATTAAGCCATCATCCTACCTTGTCACTTAGAGGTGGACGATTCATAGGACTAACTCCTTTTCGAATTCCAGTTGCTTTTCTAGCTGCAAGGCCAGTGATAACTCCATAAGGACATCTCTTCCCAGGCATTACTTTTCCTCTTCGGCTCAGACTAGTTTTACCAAAACCTGCAGAAGGAAAAAAAAAAGAAACAATATCAATTCAGGAATCCAAATGAGAGGTTCACAGGATATTCTTTACTTTTCAAGTAGGGTGCATATGTATTTTTAAATTTTATTTATATATTCTTTTGAATTACATAAATACTTCATTTTTAAACAGGCAGTAAGCTGCACTGGGAAGAGGTCTGTGGTTGTACTGGACTGTAAAGGAACAGATGATTCTACAAAGGACTGCAAAGGAACAGACCCATTCTGTCATGACTTTCTCAACAGGAAATCTAGACCATACCTGTGCAATATGGTAGCCACCAACCACATGTTGCTATTGAATATTTGAAATATAACTAATGTGACTTGTGATGTTATAAAATGTAAAATATTAATTATACATATTATATACATTAATATTAATTATATTACAAAATGATTTATTAGTATTTCATTTCTAGAGAACTGCATCTTCAGAACTCTGCACCATTCAGGAATCAGTCTCTCTTCCCACTATCAAGTCTTTTTTTTGTTTCTAGTGTCTTAGTAAGCTTTTTTCCTTCTGTAAGTCTTACACATTTCTTGTTAAACTTATTACTAGGTACTTTATACATTTTATTGTCAATTACAAAAAAAAAGGATTCCTTCTAATAATAATTTTCATATTGTCACTCGTAGCACTGTAGAAAGCTATTAAAGTTTCAATTACTTTTTTTTTTTTTTTTTTTGTACCAGGGATTGAACTTGGGACCTTGCGCTTGTGCCGCAGGCACCAGAACTACTGAGCTAAATTCCCAGCCCTTAATTACTATTTTTAATCAGCTACTCCCTCAATTATTAGTTCTAAGAGTCCTTCAAATTATTTTCTTGGGGTTTCTTTTTCTCCCCCCACAATGCTTAGGATTAAATCCAAGACCTCAAGGGTGCTGAGGCCATACTCTACCACTGAGCTTCACTCCTAGCACTGAATTTTTTAAAATTTTCTTGGAATCCCTGGTACCAAAAAAAAAAAAAATTTTTTTCTTGAAATTTCTGAATGACAATTTTTGTCACCCACAGATTACAGCCTCCTCCCTTCCAAAAATTACACCTTGCCAGGGATTTAGCTCAGTGGTTCTGCCACCTGCCTCACAAGCACAAGGTCCTGAGTTCGATCCCCGGTACCAAAAAAAAAAAAAAAAAAGAAGTGCAACAAAAATTACACCTCAAGTCAGGAATTTCACAGAATCATTCCAAGTAACAATTGTAATAGCATTCTCATCTTCAAAAAAGTTTCATGGCTAAAACTAAAGTTAAAATAGCTTTCTGTACTATAGGATTTCTCAGTGCTAACGTGTGCTATGAATCTCTAAGAAAGGGATAACAACATATGTTATTCCCAAACTTACATAACTCTTGTACCTTTTTTGCGTGGTGTGCCTAATTAGTAACTTGGAGACCAGAGTTCAACAAGACAGACAGAAAACCCTGTTGTGCTATAATGACTGAATCACTTAACAATTCATGGCTTGTCAGCTTCCAATCCAGCCTTTACCACCCTGTCTCTGAAACTGGAACACTGCTTTGTCAGCTAACATGATGTTAAACTGTTAGCAGAGGGCGCAGGAGAGATTCTGGAGTGAAGGGGCTTTTCCAGGTCCCAGGGAGCCTCCTTGAGGCTTGCTTCTGTGGTGCAGAGCACATCCAGTGACAGTCCGAGACTCACCAGCCCCGTCAGGCTGATACTACGATGAGGTTAAAGAAACACTGACGTAGAAAATCTGGGTGTGATGCCTTAGATGTTGTGCCCTTGGCATCCTAGTTCTTGGCCCTGACCATCTGGGAGTGCATTTAGGCTACACCACCTTGCAGAAAACATCCCAGCGAGTTCCAACAGTATAGCACCTCAGTGAACTTCACCATACAGGGCCATGGTCTCACCTTCTTCCAACAAGGCAAGAAGTCAGAGGAGCTGGGGTTTCTCCCTGATTTGTTCCTTTCTCAGGTACTCTACCCTTAGTCCTAAAGGTATTGCTACTAATTTTATAATCAGAAGAAAGCAATAAAAATGTAATTCTAAAATTTTTTTTAGGACCAGGGACTTAGCTCAATGGTTCCGCCACCTGCCTCCCAAGTTTGATCCCCAGTACTAAAAAAAAAAAAAATTTTTTTTTTTAGGTAGGTGTGGTAGCACACCTCTGTAACTCCAGGACTTGGGGGGCTGAGGTAGGAGGATCACTGTTGAGTTCAAGGGCTACACAGCAATTTTAAGGCCAGCGTGAACTACATATCAAGACCCAATCTCAAAAAACAAAAACAAATAAATAAATTTTAAAAATTAAATTATTGCTGCTCTACATGTAATTTCCTTCTAAAATGACTAAACATTAACTCAAATCTACAACTTGCTCTTTTTTTTTTTTTTTTGGTACCAGGGATCAAACTCAGGACCCTGTGCTTGTGAGGCAGGCAGCGGAACCACTGAGCTAAATCCTCAGCTACAACTTGCTCTTTTTATTTGTATTAAATAATGAAACAACTACCATTTACTATGCTAGGAACTGTGCCAAATAATCTGCATAAAAACTTAACGAAGTAGATGCTAAACATCTCAATTTTGCAGGTGACAAAGTGAGGCAAAGAACAATGATTTCTTAGAGGTCACAGAAAACAGCACCACCACCATCTAAGTGCAGGTACATATGGCTCCAAAACCTGAATACTTCTCTAAATTGTGATATAAAAATTAAAGAGTAATAGCTGGGTGTGGTGGCACAGGCCTGTAATCCCAGAACTCATGAGGCTAAGGCAGGAGGATCACCACAAGTTCTAGGTCACATGGGCTACACAGTGAGTTCAAACCCAGCCTGAACTATGTAGTGAGATCCTGTCTCAAAACAAAACAAATATTTAAAGAGTAATGAAAGGCAGAATATAATTTACAGTACATTTTCAAAGGGATAAAAACTACCATTATAGAAAAAGTAGGTAGGCAGGGTTATTACAAAATGGACATGAAAGAGTCCAAGTTGGAGTGACAAGTACAAAGATATGGGTGACCACAGCACACTGAGACACTAAGGAAAAGCGTAAGAAGTGAATGGATACTCTGAATTCAAATCACACAGGGCTTTGAAGGGGAATAAAGATTGTACTTGCAAAAGAACAAGGGGGTCACTGAACTAACTCACAAGGAAAGAACATCAGCATAACTGACTGAAAGAGGGAGAGAGAAGGTATTAAGACCATTTCAGGTGCCACCACAGCCCTCAAACATGACATTGTAAAAGATGGGGAGAGGAAGAAAGAAATATGAAATTCAGTATGTGCAACCCTGTAACCTCAGCACCTGGGAAGCTGAGGCAGGAGGATTATCACAAGTTCAAGGCCAGCCTAGCTACATAGCAAGTTTCAAGGCCAGACTGAACTACAAAGCAAGACCCTATCTCAAACAAACATACAATAAATAAATAAAAAATACAAAGGGATGTAGCTCACTGCAAAGGCCCTGGGTTCAATCCCCATACTAGGGGAAAAAAGTAAGACAAAGAGAACAATTAAAGGGAGGAGGAATCCATTATTACAGCATCTCATTGCAGATGAGATGGGTGAAAGTCTCATTAACAGAAATGAAATAAATTAAAATGAGAAAGTATAGGATAGAATTTTATGCCTTGGCATCTATTTCTGACCATTTGCTTATTGTATGTTGTTCTCATATATCATCCTTTCCAATGTCATCTATTGCTTGCGGGAACAATTAAAACCAGACACAGAAATTTTCATCTTTCCTTTGAATCCCTAGCCTAACCCCTTTCATGAATTTCTTTCACACATACATCATTTGCCTCAATAATTTCAGGAGCCTTTTTTTTTTTTTTTGGTACCGGGGATCGAACTCTGGACCTTCTGCTTTCGAAGCAGGTGGCAGAACCACTGAGCTAAATCCCTGGCCCCTCAGGAGCCTTTGGAATATTAAAGTCATGGAGGTGAAGTGCTTATGAATGGGATTAGCGCCCATATAAAAGCAACTCCAGAGGGCTCCCTATTTCTTTTTCTGCCATGTGAGAATATCACAGAAAGTCACAGTCTGCAAAACAGAAGATGATCTTAACTAGAACTTGATCGTACTGGCATTCTGATTTAGGTCTCCAGGCTCTGGAATGATAAACTTGAGGTTGATAAGCCACCTAATCTGTGATACATTGTTTAGCAGCCTGAACTAAGGCACAGCTTTTACATTTAATCTACTTTAACTACCACATATTCCACAAGCTTGAAGAAAAGTCTACTGTAGGTTCAAGAGAATGAAAACACAATTGAGGTCTTAGTATAAAAAGTTTTGGGGCTGGGGGTGTAGCTCAGTGGCTCCTGGCCTGCCTGGCAAGCGCAAGGCCCTGAGTTCCATCCTCAGTACCACAAAAAAACCAAAAACCCAAAACCAAAAACCAACCAAAAAACAGTTTTGATGTTGTAAACCCCTTAAGTCTTGGAGAATCCCTATAGGTGCCCAGACAGCATTTTGAGAACGACTGCTATATAGTGTTCTATCACTGAAGGACATCTGGGTTGTTTTTACCAAGTATTTATTAAGTGTCTAAAATTATATTTCTGGCTGGGCATGGTGGCGCACGCCTGTAATCTCAGCACTCGGGAGGCTGAGGCAGGAGGACAGAGGTGAGTTTGAGGCCAGCCTGGGCTACATAGTGAGTTCAAGGCCAGTGTGAACTACATAGCGAGACCCTGTCTCAAAAAACAAACAAATGAACAATCAATCAGTCAATCAAATTATATTTCAGGCATGGAGCTAGCAGTCTTCACATACTCAGCAATCAAAGACCATGAGTATCTGCCAACATCTCTCTGCTATGTAGTACTTACTCTCTCATCCCAAACTAACATCCTTACTAATGTTACATGTGGAAATCTAATTCACACTAACATTCTAAATGTGGAAACTGAAACTTCCTAGCCAATTAGAGCTGAAGACAATTCCGCATCTCTCTGCACATTCATAACAGCAGCAGCCGTTCTACTTTTAACTCCGTCACATGTAAGCAGAGAAAGTAATGAAGAGCAAGCTCAATCTTATGAGATCCTAAGCTGTCCCTAGATAGCATTCATCTCAAGGCTCAGATGATAACCCCCATAAAAGGAAAGTTTTTTCTAATCCTTTACGGACCAGATCATATTTCATCTCAACTATTAAATCACCCCTGAGCTTCTTAGCACAAAATCCTTATGTGAAATCCTATAAAACTATTTGAATTTCTCTTATGACATTTTTCACACTGTACCTTTCCTATCTTATTTCTGTTACTAGAAATTAATTCCTTAAAGTAAATGACTGCATCCTTACATAGGTCCAGAACCTGATCAGTCCAAAGCATTTACCAAATACTTAAAATATGAGTGAATATTATTTCCTGCTATGAACTCTAGTTACTATATATTGTACATATAGTATATAAAATGGTACGTTAAAATGTAGTATACTGAGTAACAATTGTAAGAAATTAAAAAATATACATCAGTGGAATTATATATTCCTTTGCTATAGCTAAATACCTGCCATGAAATTTACTAGCTTAGGTTTGGCTATTCGAGAAATTATTAGAGAAGAGCAATTTTTTTCATAAGATCCAATCTGTTATACACATATTTTTCAGAAGATGCTACTGTATTAGCTATTAAACACAAATAATGTTCAACCTACCAGAGATTTTTGTTTTCCAACATATAGAAAATCAACTGGGAATGTAAGACTTTTTTTGTGTATATGTGAGAGAATTTTTTTTTTTATTGGAACAAAGGTTTATTCTAAAATACTGATATAATTGCTAAAAAAAGGTAATCAATCAAGTAATAGTGCTCAGTTACTATCTTCAATCCATTTTAGAACAAAATGATTATAAATAAGCTTTCAGATTCCCAAAAGTAACTATATACAGAGAGTTTCAACTGAGAAGGCTGAGGCAGGAGAATTGCTACAAATTTGAGGTCAGCCTGCATTCCATAGTGAGTCCAAGGCAAGCCTGGACTACACAGCAAGACCTTATCTCAAAAAAAAACCCAAACCAAACAAACCAAAAAAGTGAGTTTCAGTTTACATCTAAAGCATTTGACTTGGAGTTTACCTTTGGAGGACTTAAGAAATTCAAAAGGTTTTGGATACAGAGATAGATATGAGTGTGGAGGTAGGGGTTAGGTTACAGCTCAGAGGTAAAGCACTTACCCAGCACAAGACAGACTTTGAATTAGATCCCTAGAACAACAACAATAAAAAAGCCTGGAGGTATTTTCCATGCAGAATAGTACTCTCCACATACTAACAGGTTTCTCATTTAGAAGAGTTTGTATCTTGTAACACTGAAGAAGTAGTAAATAGACATGGTTTAATTCAAATCTAAGAGAATATTTTTGTTTGTTTTTGAGACAGGGTCTCACTTTGTAGTTCAGGCTGGCCCTGAACTCACTATGTAGCCCAGGCTAGCCTCAAAATCACAGCAATCTTCCTGCCTCTGCCTCCCAAGTGTTGGGATTACAGGCGTGTGCCACAACCACCCCGAGAATTTTCTAATAGAGTTGTTGCAGACAATAGAGTAAGATGTCTTGTGAGGTGTTATGTTCTTTCATTGACTGTGCTTAACCTAGAGTTTGTTATTCATTAGACAGACTGTTAATAAAACACATCAATGGAAATGATATAAGACATAATATGTAAGATCTTTTGCAATTTTAGACTTTTCATAAACTGAGATTATTTCAAAATTTCTTTTAAAGACAGGGCCTCTCTATGTAGTCCAGGGTGGCCTCACAGTAATCCTCCTGCCTCAGCCTCCCAAGTGCTGGGATGAGAGGAGTGCACCACTGTGCCTGGCAGGTTTTAAGAAATAGTATTATTACCTATTTAAGAAAGCAAAAATTTTAAAACCAGGTTTAAGAACTAAAAAAGTCCCTCAGAATAGAGGAAGTACAAATCACTAACGGGTATTTTCTCCAGGTTTTAAGTACATCCTAAAGACAGTACACACAAATAATAGCACACACAAATAATAGCACTTTATCAAAGCATACTTTCAAAACTTACCAGAATTCTGCTGGATTCCCCACCGTACTCTCATCCTGAATTGCCGAGCACTATTTTGCTGGAGTCTTCTATTTAGTCTCGGAAAATTCTGCTTCTTTCCTTCCTTTCTATTCAATTTGATAATATCATCTACAACAGAGGGAATGCTATAATTATTTTCATTTTAACTTAATGTCCAGGCATGGTGGCACATGCCTGTAATCCCAGCACTCAGGAGGCCAAGGCAGGAGGATCACCATGAGTTCAAGGTCAGCCTGGGTTAACTAGTAAATTCAAAGCCAGCCTGAACTACATAGTTCCCTGTCTTGAAAAAATTTTTTAACTTATTGATTCAATTACTTAGCTCATTTTCTAGTTAAGAAATTAATTATGTCCTTAACTTCTTTCCTACTCTGAAAACACTTCCATAAAAGAGGATACTAATGATAGGAAGACAAAGCTGAAATCAGCCATTTTGCTTGGTGTGTTGAAAGTTTTTGTAGGAAAGGTTCAAATCAAAAACCCAAAGCAGGCCGGGGATTTAGCTCAGTGGTTCCACTGCCTGCCTCACAAGCTAAGGACCCGAGTTCGATCCCCGGTACCAAAAAAAAACACCCCCCAAAAAAAACCAAAGCAGATCTACTTTGAGTTTTTTGGGTAATTAATAATAATGTACTGTTTTTTAAAAACAGAGTTATTATGGGAAGTTCTTGAATTCAAATAAACCATTTAGTACATTAAAACAAAAACACCAACAAAGCAGATCTACCAATACCAATTAATGCAGAGTTCTACTATCTATAGCACTTCTTTCTCTAGTGAAAAAAATTATTTTGCTCTCAGTCTCTCAAGTGCTGGGATTACAGGTGTGAGCCATCACACCCAGTTTCCTAGTGAATGTTAATAAGCAAAAGCTTATTTAAAAAATTAATCACACTGTACTTACTTTCTATATTCACGGAAGTCTCCATTTTTAAAAGGACCTTTTACTAAAACCATAGGCAGCCAAAAAAATAAGTAAATCATTCAATAAAAGACCAAATTTCTTTTTCTTTTTTTTTTTTGGGGGGGTGGTACCGGGGATCAAACTCGGGTCTTTGCGCTTGCAGGGCAAGCGGTGGAACCACTGAGCTAATCTCCGGCCCCTAAATTTCTACATTCATCTCAAATCAGCATGTATTTATTGAATGTATACTTCGTGCAATGAATATATGTATAAGACTGTGCTCTAATGGAAACAAAAAAAAGTATAATATAGTCCCTCTTCGCAATAAGTTTAAAATTATTGATGGAAACATATGCAAATAGCAAATACATAATTAAATGCCATAATAAAGGTAGACTCTAAAAAACATTATTGGTTCTCCTCCTCTAGCAAAGTCATCCAGGGTTATTCTATTTTTCTTTCCATACTGACTTCTGTAATTCTGTAAGTCTCATTACTTCCAAAAACATTTTCAAACTGCCCCAGGATAATTCATAATCACAATGTGCCAATGCCACAACAGAACAATGTGAAGATCAGAATACTAAATGTACTCCAGATTCCTACTTATACACATAAGGTTAGTAGAAGCCAACCATACTTAAGAACTATCCACTCCTCACAATCCTACCTCCACCATTAACTGTTTTGATAAAGCAAATAAGCCAAAGAAATTGCACATAATTGAACAACTTTCTAAAAAAAACTTAACAAAATTAAGCTGGATGTGGTGGCCCATGCCTGTTCTTCCAGCACTCTTGGGAGCCTGGGACAGGGAATTACAAGCCCAACCTGGGCGACTTAATTCCTTAGCAAGACCCTATCTGAAAATTTTTAAAAATGGGAGGCTAAGGAAGGCATCACCATGTATTCCGAGGCCAGTGTGGATTACACAGTGAGTTCAAGGACAGACTGAACTGCACAGCGAGACCCTGTATCAAAAAGATAAAACAGAAATCCCCCCCCCAAAAAAATTGAAAAAGGCTGGTGATATAACTCAGTGTGAAGACCCTGGTTCAATCTCCAGCATCAAAAAACAAAAACAAAAAAACCAAAAACCAAAACCAAAACAAAACCAAACCACAAAAAACCTAATAAAAACTAATTAACCCAACTTTATTTTTTTGTGTGTGTGAGGGTCTTACTGTGTAGCTCCGGTTAATTTTGAACTTACAATTCTGCTTCAGCTTCTGGAGTGCTAGAAATACAACAGACTGTAGGGCACCGGATTTAGCTCACTGATGCCACCACCTGCCTCGCAAGTGCAAGGTCCCGAGTTCGAACCCCATACCAAAAAAAGAAATACAACAGACTGTAAAGATTGTTTCTGATATATTACTACTCTACCTCATCCATATGTAATCTTTTAGATTCTTAATTACCAAGAAATATTCTTATAAAATAATTCAAATCTCCCCAGAGTACTTTGTTGATTTCTTGAGATCAATCTCCAAGTGCAAAAGAATTCACTGAAGTTAAAAATAACTAGAGCTGAAAGCATGTGCTTGGCACAGGTAGGCCTGGGTTTGATCCCCCAGCACCACCAAAAGAAAAAAAAAAGTTAGAGACATTAGTGTTGGCAGTGTAACTCAGTGGTAGAGTGCTAAGTTTGCTTAGCAAGTGCCAGCCTCTGGGTTCAACCCCCTAGGGTCACCATAAAAAAAAAAAAAGTAAAAACACAGACACTATAAAGCCATTTAAGTCAAAAAAAGGGGTTTCACAAGTATCAGTTATAGTAACATGTTAAGTTCTCAGTAAGAAGAAAGAGAATAGTTAGGAAGCTGATAATTATGAACTACCACTTTTCTTTAAGAATTTGCTATTCAAAAAAAAAAAGAATTTGCTATTCTTCACTAGAAGCCTAAAATCTCAGAGCCTTGAGTACATCCAAAAAATGAATTTGGTCTGAAGACCATTAATAAAGGAGATAAGAGTACAATTCTGATTAACCAGTTTAATTTTAAAATAAGGAATACACAGTCTAAATATAACTAAAAAGCTAGGTGTGATGGTACAAGCCTGTAATCCCAGCACTCAGGAAGCTAAGGCAGGAGGATTGCCAGGAGTTCCAGGCCAGCCTGGGTTACAAGGCCAGCCTGAACTACATAAAGAGACCCTGTCTCAAAA